CTCATTTTGGAACGCCCAAGTTCGTGTCCCCATAGGGAGGTACACCGAAGGCCCACGTAGCAGGGTCCGCATGGCGGCGCCGCTCCTTCTTGGCGCACCCCTCACACGGTCCTTGGCCCCAGACAGAGCTCCACCGACGGCCCAAGTGGCAGGGTCCACATGGCGGCGCCGCCCTATTTTGGCGCACCCTTCACACGGTTCGTGGCCCCAAAGGGAGCTCCACGGAAAGAAGGCCCCGGTGGCAGGGTCCACATGGCGGCGCGGTCCCATTTTGGTGACTTTTTGCACGGTTCGTGGCCCCATAGGGAGCCCCACCGAAGGCCCCAGTGGCAGGGGCCACATGGCGGCGCCGCCCTATTTTGGCGCACCCCTCTCACGGTGAGTGGCCCCATACAGGGCTCCACCAAAAGTTGTGCCACAACACTGTATTCACAACTGCACATGGTTGGACCTTTCGCCAGGGTTTTCTTGTCCAAATCATCCTGTGGTGTTGGGTCCTCGTTTTGAAGAGACGGTCCCCGCGTTCCTCTCCTCTCCTCCTCCTCTTCCTCCTCCTCTTCCTCCTCCTCCTCCTCGTCGTCCTCCTCCTCCTCCTCCTTCTCCTCCTCCTCCTCCTCCCCCTCCTCCCTCCTTCCCCTTCTTGCCTCTGCCCTCCACATGTCCATGTCGACACACCTCTCATACGGTTCGTGGCCCCATAGGGAGCTCCAGCGAAGGCCACAGTGGCCGCGTCCGCATGCACCCCCACGCCCATTTCGGCACACCCTTCACACGTTTCTTGGCCCCATGGGGAGCTACACCAGAGGCCCCAGTGGTCGCGTCCGCATGCGTCCTCCCCGCCCTTTTCGGCCCCTCAAGTGTTTCGTGGCCCTATAGGGAGGGCCACCGAAGCCCCCCGTGGCCGCGTCCGCATGCGTCCCCCCGCCCATTTCGGCACACTTTTCACACGTTTCGTGGGCCCATGGGGAGTTCCACCGAAGGCCCCAGCGGCCGCGTCCGCATGCGCCCTCCCCGCCCACCGCATGCCCATTTCGGCACACCCCTCACACGGTTCGTGGCCCCACAGGGAGCTCCACCGAAGGCCCCAGTGGCCGCGTCCACATGCGCCCCCCGCCCATTTCGGCACACCCTTCACACGGTTCGTGGCCACACAGTGGCCACACAGTGGCCGCGTCCGCATGCGTCCCCCCCGCCCAATTTGGCACACTCCTCACACGGTTCGTGGGCGCATAGGGAGCTCCTCCGAAGGCACCGGTGGCCGCGTCCGCACGCGCCCCCCCGCCCATTTCGGCATACCTTTCACACGGCTCGTGGGCCCATAGGAAGTTCCACCGAAGGCCCCAGTGGGTGTCCGCATGCGTCCTCCCCGCCTACCGCATGCACATTTCGGCACACCCCTCACACGTTTCGTGGCATGGGGAGCTCCACCGAAGGCCCCAGCGGCCGCCTCCGCATGCATCCTCCCCGCCCACCGCATGCCCATGTCGGCACACCCCTCACACTGTTCGTGGCCCCATAGGGAGCCCCACCGAAGGCCCCAGTGGCCGTGTCCGCATGCGTCCTTCCCGCCAACCGCATGCCCAATTGTGCATACCCCTCGCGCGCTTCGTGGCCCCATGGGAAGCTCCACCGAAGGCCCCAGTGGCCGCGTCCGCATGCGTCCTCCCCGCCCACCGCATGCACATTTCGGCACACCCCTCACACGTTTCGTGGCATGGGGAGCTCCACCGAAGGCCCCAGCGGCCGCGTCTGCATGCGTCCTCCCCGCCCACCGCATGCAGATTTCGGCACACCCGTCACAGGGTTCGTGGCCCCATGGGGAGCTACACCGAAGGCCCCAGTGGTCGCGTCCGCATGCGTCTTCCTCGCCCTTTTCGGAACACCCCTCAAGCGTTTCGTGGCCCTATAGGGAGGGCCACCGAAGCCCCCCGTGGCCGCGTCCGCATGCGTCCCCCCCATTTCGGCACACCTTTCACACGGTTCGTGGGCCCATGGGGAGTTCCACCGAAGGCCCCAGCGGCCGCGTCCGCATGTGCCCTCCCCGCCCACCGCATGCCCATTTCGGCACACCCCTCACACAGTTCGTGGCCCCATAGGGAGCTCCACCGAAGGCCCCAGTGGCCGCGTCCGCATGCGCCACCCGCCCATTTCGGCACTCCCGTCACAGGGTTCGTGGCCACACAGTGGCCGCGTCCGCATGCGTCCCCCCGCTCAATTTGGCGCACCCCTCACACGGTTCGTGGGCGCATAGGGAGCTCCTCCGAAGCCCCCCGTGGCCGCGTCCGCACGCGCCCCCCCGCCCATTTCGGCACACCCCTCACACGTGTCGTGACCCCATAGGGAGCTCCACCGGCGTCCGCATGCGTCCTCACGCTCATTTCGGCACACCTTTCACACGGTTCGTGGGCCCATAGGAAGTTCCACCGAATGCCCCAGTGGCCGCGTCCGCATGCGTCCTTCCCGCCCACCGCATGCACATTTCGGCACACCCTCACACGTTTCGTGGCATGGGGAGCTCCACCGAAGGCCCCAGCGGCC